GTGACCATGAGAGTAATAAATACAATAGCTCTATAACAACTATAATGTGACCATGAGAGTAATAAATACAATAGCCTTATAACAACTACAAAGTGACCATGAGAGTAATAAATGCAATAGCTCTATAACAACTACAAAGTGACCATGAGAGTAATAAATGCAATAGTTCTATAACAACTATAATGTGACCATGAAAGTAATAAGTGCAATAGCTCTATAACAACTATAATGTGCCCATGAAAGTAATAAATGCAATAGCTCTATAGCAACTACAAAGTGACCATGAGAGTAATAAATGCAATAGTTCTATAACAACTATAATGTGACCATGAAAGTGATAAATGCAATAGCTCTATAACAACTATAATGTGGCCATGAAAGTAATAAATGCAATAGCTCTATAGCAACTACAAAGTGACCATGAGAGTAATAAATGCAATAGTTCTATAACAACTATAATGTGACCATGAAAGTAATAAATGCAATAGCTGTATAACAACTACAAAGTGACCATGAGAGTAATAAATGCAATAGTTCTATAACAACTATAATGTGACCATGAGAGTAATAAATGCAATAGTTCTATAACAACTATAATGTGACCATGAAAGTAATAAATACAATAGCTTCATAACAAATATAATGTGACCAGAAAAGCAATAAATGCAATAGCTCTATAACAACTATAATGTGGCCATGAAAGTAATAAATGCAATAGCTCTATAGCAACTACAAAGTGACCATGAGAGTAATAAATGCAATAGTTCTATAACAACTATAATGTGACCATGAAAGTATAAATGCAATAGCTCTATAACAACTATAATGGGACCATGAAAGTAATAAATGCAATAGCTCTATAGCAACTACAAAGTGACCATGAGAGTAATAAATGCAATAGTTCTATAACAACTATAATGTGACCATGAGAGTAATAAATGCAATAGTTCTATAACAACTATAATGTGACCATGAAAGTATAAATGCAATAGCTCTATAACAACTATAATGTGACCATAAAAGTAATAAATGCAAGAGCTCTATAACAACTATAATGTGACCAAGAAAGTAATAAATGGAATAGCTCTATAACAACTATAATGTGACCATGAAAGTGATAAATACAATAGCTCTATAACAACTATAATGTGACCATGAGAGTAATAAATACAATAGCCTTATAACAACTACAAAGTGACCATGAGAGTAATAAATGCAATAGTTCTATAACAACTATAATGTGACCATGAGAGTAATAAATGCAATAGTTCTATAACAACTATAATGTGACCATGAAAGTATAAATGCAATAGCTCTATAACAACTATAATGTGACCATAAAAGTAATAAATGCAAGAGCTCTATAACAACTATAATGTGACCAAGAAAGTAATAAATGGAATAGCTCTATAACAACTATAATGTGACCATGAGAGTAATAAATGCAATAGTTCTATAACAACTATAATGTGACCATGAAAGTAATAAATACAATAGCTCTATAACAACTATAATGTGACCATGAAAGTAATAACTGCAATAGCTCTATAACAACTATAATGTGACCATAAAAGTAATAAATGCAAGAGCTCCAAAACAACTACAAAGTGACCATGAGAGTAATAAATGCAAGAGCTCTATAACAACTATAATGTGACCAAGAAAGTAATAAATGGAATAGCTCTATAACAACTATAATGTGACCATGAGAGTAATAAATGCAATAGTTCTATAACAACTATAATGTGACCATGAAAGTAATAAGTGCAATAGCTCTATAACAACTATAATGTGGCCATGAAAGTAATAAATGCAATAGCTCTATAGCAACTACAAAGTGACCATGAGAGTAATAAATGCAATAGTTCTATAACAACTATAATGTGACCATGAAAGTAATAAATACAATAGCTCTATAACAACTATAATGTGACCAAGAAAGTAATAAATGGAATAGCTCTATAACAACTATAATGTGACCATGAAAGTAATAAGTGCAATAGCTCTATAACAACTATAATGTGACCGTGAAAGTAATAAATGCAATAGCTCTATAACAACTATAATGTGACAGTAATAAATTCTAAGTTCTTCTGTAGTTAATACATCTGTAATGTGATTGTGACAAAAATAAATGCAAAAGCTCTATTGATCTGTAGTTATGACAACTGCACTGTGATAGCTCCGTAGTTATGACAACTGTACTGTGATAGCTCTGTAGTTATGACAACTGTACTGTGATAACTCTGTTATATGACAACTGTACTGTGATAGCTCTGTAGTTATGACAACTACTGTGATAGCTCTGTAGTTATGACAACTGTACTGTGATAGCTATGTAGTTATGACAACTCTACTGTGATAGCTCTGTAGTTATGACAACTATACTGTGATAGCTATGTAGTTATGACAACTGTTCTGTGATAGCTCTGTAGTTATGACAGCTGTACTGTGATAGCTCTGTAGTTATGCTACCTACATGACTTCTAATTAACTATTAGCTATTGTATATGTATTGTGATCTGTTGTTACATATATAGGTTATGCTATCTACATGACTTAGTTAGTGTACACACTGTATCATTACTGATGCAATCACTACATATGAACATGTACACTGCAGTGTAACAATAAAATAATAGGAGTGTAACTGTTGTTGTTGTTGGATGCATATGTAGGAAGTAAAACCTATTGCATCAGACAGGAAGAGAATTAAAAAAGATTATACATGGATACAATTGATTATACATGTATACACAATCTGACGGAAATCTTTGTATAATCAAGTAATTAAGAACAGGATTTTCTAATCTACAGTAAAACATTAACACAGTCCGCCCGTTGCAATGTATTCAGAAGGCAAATGTTGTTGTGAGACTATATATATAACAACATTTGCTATATTGTAACGTCATCAATCTCTATTGTAAGGTCATACATTTCGTTGTTGTATGGATTTAATTTTCGAAATAACTTAATAAAGCCTAACTACTCCATCAGAATGTAAATATGAATAATGAATATCTTTGCAAATATTGTTGATATAACACACATTTCTATTGCTGACCATCTTACAGAAATCACTGCCAGCTAGGCTTTATTAAGTGTGTCATCAATAGCAATGTGTGTTATAGGACCATAACAACATTTGCTAAACCATTCATTGCCTAATTGAATTGATACCTAGTATATTCTGTAGTTGACATGATATATATTGTCTAAAGAAAAAAACTTTTTGGGAGAGGACACTACATACTGGAACCCTGATTTGATCACATCAATAATGACAGTTAATCAAAGGCCATTGTACACATGTTTAATTATAACCAGGTATACCATTCTCTAAAACACAGTCTAAAACACAGTTGTCAAAGATTTGATGATTTACCGAGGTATTACAATCTTGTTTGTTTTAGTACAGGACAATGAGATAAAGAGACTCAAAGATTTGATGATTTACCGAGGTATTACAATCTTGTTTGTTTCAGTACGGATCAATGAGATAAAGAGACTCAAAGATTTGATGATTTACCGAGGTATTACAATCTTGTTTGTTTCAGTACAGGACAATGAGATGAAGAGACTCAAAGATTTGATGATTTACCGAGGTATTACTATCTTGTTTGTTTCAGTACGGATCAATGAGATAAAGAGACTCGAAGATTTGATGATTTACCGAGGTATTACAATCTTGTTTGTTTTAGTACAGGACAATGAGATGAAGAGACTCAAAGATTTGATGATTTACCGAGGTATTACTATCTTGTTTGTTTCAGTACAGGACAATGAGATAAAGAGACTCAAAGATTTGATGATTTACCGAGGTATTACAATCTTGTTTGTTTTAGTACAGGACAATGAGATAAAGAGACTCAAAGATTTGATGATTTACCGAGGTATTACTATCTTGTTTGTTTCAGTACAGGACAATGAGATAAAGAGACTCAAAGATTTGATGATTTACCGAGGTATTACAATCTTGTTTGTTTTAGTACAGGACAATGAGATAAAGAGACTCAAAGATTTGATGATTTACCGAGGTATTACAATCTTGTTTGTTTCAGTACAGGACAATGAGATAAAGAGACTCAAAGATTTGATGATTTACCGAGGTATTACAATCTTGTTTGTTTTAGTACAGGACAATGAGATAAAGAGACTCAAAGATTTGATGATTTACCGAGGTATTACAATCTTGTTTGTTTCAGTACAGGACAATGAGATAAAGAGACTCAAAGATTTGATGATTTACCGAGGTATTACAATCTTGTTTGTTTTAGTACAGGACAATGAGATAAAGAGACTCAAAGATTTGATGATTTACCGAGGTATTACAATCTTGTTTGTTTCAGTACAGGACAATGAGATGAAGAGACTCAAAGATTTGATTATTAACCGAGGTTTTACAATCTTATTTATTTCAGTACGAGACAATGAGATGAAGAGACTCAAAGATGCTTTTAAGAGGGTGTCAAGTTTTGGAGGGATGATGACGGAGACCATGTTTACAAGGGAAGTGCTGGGGGACGGCGTACCCGACAATATATCACAGGTAAAAATCTCACAGGTGTATTGATATACTTATACATAATTATATACATAATAATAATGTAACTGACCATAAGGCATTGTAATACCTCTATATATCAATACAGTGTTACAGCCCTAATTAACTGTGTGCCAGGGTTAAGTTTATACCTCACATAGATTGATGTACATGTATCTGGTAACTGGTAGAACATGTAAATATGATCATGTGTACTTGTTTATTTGACAATAAAGCCATGCCTGGTAATAAGCCCACCCATATCAATGGCAGTTCACTACAAATGCCACCGAATGTTATTTTGTCGTCCTGTAATAAGCCCACCCTCTTACCTCCAAGTTAGAGATTATGTGTCGCCTAGGGCTTATAACAGGATAAATACAGAAAATATGGTGAATGTTATGAATCCGCAACATGTTTATCTGTTGTGTCCTGAAGTGTCAGCGGGTCCCAGTGGTCAGCCACGGCCCAGTTATATCTCTGATAAGATAATGACCTAGCCCTAATGACCATGCCATGTAATGTTTTTACTGGACTGGATTATTTGGATAATTTTGAAATTACTCTATTTATTGAATTAATTTGAACTTATCTGTAAAATTCTGCTATAACGTATTTGAGGAGTTTTTGTACAGAACAGTAACATGCCACCTGTCATGTGATGCTGTCATGTGATGCTGCCATGTCAATGTCCCTGTAGCTGGAGCTCTCTAGCCAGTTCTCACTTGAGTCGAGCAGTCATGTATCCAGTTCAGCACAGGACAGGTCGACTGTCTGGCTTTGGTCACACTGACCGGCTAGGGATTACCCGCTTTGATATATATAGCATCAAAAATGGTCATGTGGTGACCGAACTGCTCAGGGGGAATATATGTCTATATAGTGCTGTACTGGGTCGGTATATACTTAGCCACCCACATTCTCTACCATCCAGTTACAGCAGTGAAGTAATAGGCCTAATCAAATAGCACTGTCATAATTTGATGAAGCTATTTATTGATCTCGCCGGGGAGTGCCACATTAGTTCGCTAGTGATAACAATTTGCTGTAGTTGGGAATCTCAGTGAAATTGAACCAAATGTTTCCTGTTATGAAAAGCCTCATGTTTATTTTACTCGTTTGTCAATGCTATCTGTTTCGTGTGTTGCGCAGTTACATTGTTCCTGTATCCATTTCTTGCATTCTGTCAATATCTGTCCGGGATCTTTCTTGAAAATTAACTTGGTTACAATGTAGTGTTACATAACAATGCCACAAGGGCTTATCAGCTGGTTGACCTTGACATTTGTATTGGAGCCCCGGAAGGCTGAGAGCTTTTGGACTTTCAGCTCTTTCAATGGCTACCATCTTGATTCCTATTGATTGGAAATTTATTTTACATGGAGGAGCTTTCAAATTTGTGAAGATAAATGTCTGGTTCTGCATTAACTCTGTAATTCTGGAATCTACACAGATACCAGGGCAACATGGTGCAGGTTTATATGTAACCTGTCAGATCTTAGTCCGTTAAATTCCTCCAAGGTCAAAGTTACGTATCAGCTCAATAAATCTTAAATCACTGTGGTAATATTCAGAAATCTAATCAGGATATATAGTTCCCATATTTAGTGCAGGTGCCCTCTGACCTTACTGGGATTGGTTCTCCATATAACGGCATTATACATTGTAACTCACCCCAATCACCCTAATTTCATTCTGTTGGAAAAAAGCATACTATAGTGAGATGGGAATTTTGTTTTTAAATCACGTAAATATCTAGATAGATGATTTGTTACCAAAACACATTTTTTATGAAATGACAATTTGTGTAATGCACCAGACTGTTTTATTGAGTTTAAATCACACTCCAATGAAGCAGAGAAATGCAGTTGTAATTGTGTGCCCATGGTTTTGTCTACAGCTATTAATAAATACTCCTAACAATGAATATATTCATTGTAGCAATACCAGAAAGTACAGATTGGCAAATAACACTGGAGAAAATCATTTTACAGAGCATTAAATATACAGCTCTTTGTAAACTATTCCATCATTCATCCTCTCAGTGAGTCTATTCTTCTGACTTGTTATGTCCCATTCTTTGAAGAGTAAAATATTTGTCAAGTCTTACAGCTAATTTACTAAAAGCTGAAGTATTTATCTGTCTTACAGCTATTGTACTGGAAACTAAAGTGCTTGTATGTCTGTTATTCTGACTGTCTTACAGCTATTGTAGTCTGTAAACTGAAATGCTTGTCCGTCTGTCTTACAGCTGCTGTACAAGGGGTTCGGAGGGACATCTAAGGGCGTGTCCTTCAAGGACCTGCTGACCGGATTAATCATCATCACTAAAGGGTCAAAAGAGGACAAAATCAAATGTATGTATTCCAATGCAAGGTCTCACTCATAGAAATATTGACCGCAAATCTGTGTCAGGGTAACTGCTAATATTCCCATCGGTATTGATGGTAAGCTGACTGTTATTATTATAACTGAATCGGCAGAAACACCAAAGTAAAAGTCACTTGTCAGGCCAATCAATCTTTACACTTCGAGTCTATCAAACTTATGATACAGATAAACCTGACCAACATCAACAGAAAAAGGTAATTTGGTCCAATGACCAGTGAAACAATGTCATGGTCATGATCAAAGGCTGATAACTTCATGTTGGACATCACAGAAATTAACCCTTATACCAAAGAATCTGCATAACTTATATTAAGAATATAGTCATCGGTATAAGACATTTGAATGCATGTGTTCTATGAATGAAAAAATAAAAATAGAATCCATCAAAGAAGCTGTCATTTCAAAGTTGATTTTGTGAGAGGAAGAGTCAGTGGAAGAGTTTAAAGTCTGGTGATGATAAATATGGGTTTTACTTACAGAAAAATTATGGTGATACATAGTTCCTGTCCTTGTGTGACAATTGCAAGGATGCATAGTTGTATAAGGTCAAAAATGTTCAAGTATGGCATCTGTATGAAAGAGCTATTGGAAATTCTGACCAATAACAAACAGAACACATATACAACCTCCAGTACACACATACACACTTGTACACTCATATTTATCATGGAGGTATGAAGGGGATTAATATCAAGATGCACTTGAGTTAGAGTGCTTTCACTCTCGATCTCCTGATCATGTTGTATATGAATATTGCTCATCTGTTCAGTGTTTTAAAGTAATTTGCTTGAGATTTGTTAGGGTGCTTTACAAATGTTGTATTATATATGGATTGAATCAAGATTTTTCCTGAGTAAAATAATTTATGATAGGGTGAATTAACCAATTACAGAACTTGGGGAAAAGAATTTGGAATTACAACAATTTGTACATGACAAACTTAAGATTTTTTTTATTGATTATTGAAATCGATTATTGATGATATTAAACTAAAAAGGTGCAGATTTTCTAAGCCTTCCGATATAAGTCATGATGATAAGCTATACATTTTATGGAGTATAATCATGGTATCTACATGTTTGTTTGCAGTGATATTCGGTATGTATGCTGACGAGTCCTACACATATGTACAGAAAGATGATATGGACAGACGGATACTGGAGACAGAAGGACAAGTATCAACAGCTTTATCAGATCTATTCCTCGAGGTAAGCACCCCACCTGGTTATTCTAAGCCCCTATAAGACCTCTTCCATGAGGTAAACACCTCTCCTGGTTATTCTTAGCCCCTAAAAGACCTGTTCCATGAGGTAAGCACCTCTCCTGGCTATTCTAAGCACCTATAAGACCTCTTACATGAGGTAAGCACCTCTCCTGGTTATTCTAAGCCCCTATAAGACCACTTCCTCGAGGTAAACACCTCTCCTGGTTATTCTTAGCCCCTATAAGACCTCTTCCATGAGGTAAACATCTCTCCTTGTTATTCTAAGCCCCTATAAGACCTGTTCCATGAGGTAAACACCTCTCCTGGTTATTCTTAGCCCTATAAGACCTCTTCCTCGAGGTAAACACCTCTCCTGGTTATTCTTAGCCCCTATAAGACCTCTTCAATGAGGTAAGCACCTCTCCTGGTTATTCTTAGCCCCTATAAGACCTCTTCCATGAGGTAAACACCTCTTCTGGTTATTCTAGGCCCCTATAAGACGTCTTCCATGAGGTAAACACCTCTCCTGGTTATTCTTAGCCCCTATAAGACCTCTTCTGTGAGGTAATTATAAGCACCTCTCCTGGTTATTCTAAGCCACTTACAATGTATAATCAAATCTCTTTCTTGAAGTAACCACCTCTCCTGGTTATTCTAAGCCCCTATAAGACCTCTTCCATGAGGTAAACACCTCTCCTGGTTATTCTTAGCCCCTTTAAGACCTCTTCCATGAGGTAAGCACCTCTCCTGGTTATTCTAAGCCCCTTTAAGACCTCTTCCATGAGGTAAACACCTCTCCTGGTTATTCTTAGCCCCTTTAAGACCTCTTCCATGAGGTAACCACCTCTCCTGGTTATTCTAAGCCCCTATAAGACCTCTTCCATGAGGTAAACACCTCTCCTGGTTATTCTTAGCCCCTTTAAGACCTCTTCCATGAGGTAAGCACCTCTCCTGGTTATTCTAAGCCCCTTTAAGACCTCTTCCATGAGGTAAACACCTCTCCTGGTTATTCTTAGCCCCTTTAAGACCTCTTCCATGAGGTAAACACCTCTCCTGGTTATTCTAAGCCCCTTTAAGACCTCTTCCATGAGGTAAACACCTCTCCTGGTTATTCTAAGCCCCTTTAAGACCTCTTCCATGAGGTAAACACCTCTCCTGGTTATTCTTAGCCCCTTTAAGACCTCTTCCATGAGGTAAACACCTCTCCTGGTTATTCTAAGCCCCTATAAGACCTCTTCCATGAGGTAAACACCTCTCCTGGTTATTCTTAGCCCCTTTAAGACCTCTTCCATGAGGTAAGCACCTCTCCTGGTTATTCTAAGCCCCTTTAAGACCTCTTCCATGAGGTAAACACCTCTCCTGGTTATTCTAAGCCCCTAAAAGACCTGTTCCATGAGGTAAGCACCTCTCCTGGTTATTCTAGGCCCCTATAAGACCTCTTCCATGAGGTAAACACCTCTCCTGGTTATTCTAAGCCCCTATTAGACCTGTTCCATGAGGTAAACACCTCTTCTGGTTATTCTAGGCCCCTATAAGACCTCTTCCATGAGGTTAACACCTCTCCTGGTTATTCCAAGCCCCCTATAAGACCTCTTCTGTGAGGTAATTATAAGCACCTCTCCTGGTTATTCTAAGCCACTTACAATGTATAATCAAATCTCTTTCTTGAAGTAACCACCTCTGCTGGTTGTTTTAAGCCCCCTGTAAGACTTCTTCCATGGTTATGTTAACCCCCCTATCAGACCTGTTCCATGAGGTAAGCACCTCCCCTGGTTATTCTGAGCACCCAAGAAGACCTCTTCCTTGAGGTAAGCACCTCTGCTGGTTTTTCTAAGTCCCTTATAATCACTAACTCTTTTTTTAAGTTAGCCACTTCTGTTGGTTGTTCTAAGCTCTCCAATTTTTCCCTGAGGTAAGCATCACTGTTGCTTGTTCTAAGCTCCCAAACCTTTTCCCGCAGGTAAGCATCACTGTTGCTTGTTCTAAGCTCCCCAACCTTTTCCCGGAGGTAAGCATCACTGTTGGTTGTTCTAACCTGTCTGATGTCTTCTTTTGCCTGTTTGTATTAAGTCCCTTATCAGATTTCTTCCTTGAGGTAAGCTCCTCTACTGGTTGTTTTAAGCCTAATCCATCTGAAGACAAGTTAGCAAATATATTTTAGAAGCAATAGAATGGTTTTGTTATACCAGTCCGTTCCGTCTTGGTTTATAAGGATGTAAATACATTGTTTATACAAATCGTTACAGGATACATGTTCCGTGTTTTTTGTTTTTGTTTTTTTTCTTAAGTTAAGTTAGCTGTCAAAAATTAGAACTGGCATGGATGGCATCGTCCTCCACACAAGTAAAACCTGATGGTGACAATTGTGCTGTTTTCTGACGTATACTTATTTAAAAATGACAGTGGTGTTAGCTTGGGGGTAGTTTTGGTGTAATGATGTTTGCTTGCTAATGAAGTCTTTTAACACAGATTCCAAACTCAAGGGAAATTTACTGAATAACATCAAACACTGAAATGTCAGATCCAATGTTACAGTAAAATAGACCTAGCATCCATATAACTGAGTTCTACAACAGCTCCCGTATTTTAGGATCGGTGGTTAAGATTTTTATAAAACAGTTTTGCTTGCATGGTTATAGCAAATGTTAATTATGAAAAGAAATTGAAACGAAAAAAGCATACCAACAAGGGGACAAGAGAGAGTCTGTGGCATTGTTGTAAAGTCTACAGAATTAATTCTGTTACATGTGTTCTTTGTAATTCACCAGAACTATGAAATACTATAGCCATTTGTCATGTGACTAGAAAGCACCAATGAGAGGAAAGTCTTGTACCAATCCTAGAAGTATTGATTATCCTGACCCCATTATATTTACCAGCACTCATGGTTTTACTAGTGATACAATATAACCCCTTGCTAAGCTCAACCCCTTTGTTTAACAGATTATATATTTTTAAAGACCATATACAAGTACTTACAGTAAAAATGAAAGGCATAGTAAACTTTTACCCTGTTTCTAAGGATTCAAACATGATCGGCGAACTGGGAATCTGGGAGTCGCAGAGTTGTTTCCTGAAGGAAGAACACTTCTCTCTTTCCACGGCCTTCCCTGTGGTGACAGGGAGTTAGAATCTGGGTTGTGGTGGTGTTGGAGGGCAAACACATTCAAAAAGGGGGTGCAGTGTGGCAGATTTTAATTTTACATAGGATTATGTAATTTCCCTTTAGCTCAGTGTTAGAGCATCCAACTAGGAAGTCTGGGATACCTCTGTGGAAGCACATGTTCACTACTCTCTTTCCTGTTTCACATCAATCTTACATTGCATGTTCAGACAAACTTGTATTAAGAAACCATCAATGTGAAGTCAAAATATGGTCTTTTAACACAGGTAGTCTCTTAAGACAGGTTCAGTTAACACATGCAGGTAATCTCTTAATACAGGGTCAGTTAACACTGGTAGTCTCTTAATACAGGGTCAGTTAACACATGTAGTCTCTTAAGACAGGTTCAGTTAACACTGGTAGTCTCTTAATACAGGGTCAGTTGACACAGGTAGTCCCTTAATACAGGTTCAGTTAACACATGTAGTCTCTTAATATATGTAGTCTCTTAACACAGAGAGTCTCTTAACACAGGTAGTCTCTTAACAAAGGTAGTCTCTTAACACAGATAGTCTCTTAACACAGGTAGTCTCTTAACAAAGGTAGTCTATTAACACAGATAGTCTCTTAACACAGATAGTCTCTTAACACAGATAGTCTCTTAACACAGGTAGTCTCTTAACACAGGTAGTCTCTTAACACAGGTAGTCTCTTAACACAGATAGTCTCTTAACACAGATAGTCTCTTAACACAGATAGTCTCTTAACACAGGTAGTCTCTTAACACAGGTAGTCTCTTAACACAGGTAGTCTCTTATCACAGAGAGTCTCTTAACACAGATAGTCTCTTAACACAGATAGTCTCTTAACACAGGTAGTCTCTTAACACAGATAGTCTCTTAACAAAGAGAGTCTCTTAACACAGAGTCTCTTAACACAGAGAGTCTCTTAACACAGGTAGTCTCTTAACACAGGTAGTCTCTTAACACAGGTAGTCTCTTCACACAGGTAGTCTCTTAACACAGGTAGTCTCTTAACACAGGTAGTTTCTTAATACAGGTTCAGTTAACAAAGAAATCAATACTTTGGCAATGCAAAAACGGTCTCTTAACATAGTTGGTCTCTTAATTAATGGAGGGGATCACATGACCAGGTTTGACTGTACATATGCAGACATGCATCTTTAACTGCAGTTTGTACACTCATTCTTTGGAACATAATTCTACGATATTAATGATACTCATGAATCCATAAATTCATGTTCTGGAGCCAAGTGAGTTTCAGTAGGAAAGATAGTCACATTCCTTTTGAAAAACTTCATTTTCAATCTTGCAGTATTGTTTCAATATAATTTCACATATAAATTACCAGGATTGTTTTTTTAATTGAACATTTTCTCTGGTAAGCAAAATGTGTGGATTTACAAAGTTTGATGATAGTTGAACTCCAGATGTTACCATCACAGGTAAACTCTTATTAGAACAGGTAAACACTGGTTAGTACAGGTAAACTCCTGTTAGGAGAGATAAACACTGGTAAGGACAAGTTAACTCTTGTTAGGATAGGTAAACTCCTGTTAGGACAGATAAACACCGATAAGGACAGGTAAACACTGGTTAGTACAGGTAAACTCTTGTTAGGATAGATAAAATCTGGTTAGGACTGATAAACTCTGGTTAGGTTGTAGGTCAACTCTGGTAAGGTTCCAGTTAACTCTGACATCACAGGTTAACTTTGGTTAGGATGTACATGTAGGTAAAATTTGGATAGGACAGGTAAACTCTGGTTAGGACCCAGTTAACTCAGGCATCACAGGTAAAGTCTGGTTTGGACCAGGGCCTACATGTACCTTACCATCCCCTTGATTTTGGATGGGTACAATATAGTGTTCATTCATATGT